CCTTACACAATTCCCAACATTTGCCATCACATTAGACATTTTAAATGAAGATACACCTTCTAGTAACACATTAAAGGTTTTATATAAACAATATAAACAACAGAAACAACAGAAACAAAGCAGCCCCCCCCCAAAAAAACACTAGAAACAGCCTCTAATGAGTCAGAACCTCCACAAAAACACCACCTTTGTTTACCTGCAGCTCGCTTGTTGTCCTGTTTATTTACACTTAAATAAACATAGAGCTAATAGAGAGTCTAACTCACTGCTACCCCCCCACCACCCCCCACCACAGGTCCCTGTAAAGCTAAAAGCTTAGTTAGCAGCTGAGGATTAAACTCAATGCACACAGACTACCAACGACAGCTGCCTGTTAGCATCTGCAGCTCTGGAGTGACAGATCATATGATAGCTAATAATAATAATAATAATAATAATAATAATAATAATAACACTCGTATTAAACCCCTTGCTGTGCCTCCTCCTGCTTTAGGAGCCTCTGGCAGAGTGTTTCTCTTCATTTAGCAGCTACAAGAACAAGGAGGCAGGTCAGTGGGGAGTTAGCTCGATGCTAACCAGATTGTAAGTTAACTGCTGCCGGCGGCTTGCGGGGCGGTGCGGGGCGCTGCGTGGCGTCCGCGGGAGGGGATCGAGCTCACGGACGACGCCGCGGCCCGCGAGTGAGCGGCGGCACTTTAGGCGCAGGGGCGGTGTGAGTAGGCAGAAGATTGAATTGAAGTGGCTCCCTTACCTTCAGCAAATTAGACGTCGCCATGTTCCCTCAACTTAAGATCTCGTGAAATCTCGCGAGAAAAAAAAGGAAAAAAAAAAAAAAAAAAAGCTTAAAACTCTGATCTCGTCTGTGAGTAATGGATTACATGGGAGGGGGGTAATCTATTACATTTATTTAAAAAAATATGTGTAATCAGATTACAGTTAGAATTAGGAAAAATTTATAAAATTATTTATTCTCTTGATTTTATTTGCATATTTGGAGCTGAAGTAATCCAAAAGTAACATAAAGTAATCTGATTATAAACAGTAAATAACTGCATTGTACAGTTATTTTTTTTTCTTTATGTCCTTTTTCTCAATTAGATTTAATTATCATATTACAGCATATAATTAAAAATGTCATATTTATATACATCTATTACAGTTACAAATTAGATGTAATCAGATTACAGTTACATTTAGTTAAAAAAAATTGGCAGGTTTATAATATTAAAATCTGATTTTCTGCAGATTTTTATGGTAAAATTCGTCATTCTCTTGATTTTATTTGCATATTTGGAGCTGAAGTAATCCAAAAGTAACTAAAAAGTAACTAGTAAGATTATAAACAGTAAATATTAGAAGTATTTAACTAACCCCATTTTTTATTTCTTTGTCCTTTTTCTCAATTAAGTTCTAGCCATCTACTGAACGAACTTATTATATATTTCAAATTCAAATTTAATACTAATATATCTCCATTACAGTTACAAAAAAGATGTAATCAGATTACAGTTACATTTAGTAAGAATTTGCAGGATTACAACATTAAAATAAATCAGTTTTTTCAGCAGAGGACACCTTTTTGATGATAAAAATCTTTATTCTCTTGATTTTATTTGCATATTTGGTTAATCCAAAAGTAACAGAAAGTAATCTGATTATAAACAGTAAATAATAGAAGCATTTAACAGTTAAAAACACTATTTTTTATTTCTTTTTTCTCAATTAAGATGACTGAACGTATACAGTAGTATTTAAAAATGTCTCATTAACAGACCACAATATCAGAGTTGCTCTTACTTTTGTATTTGTTAGTAATAAAAACAGTATAATAAAACAATATATAATATAATAATAATATAATATATATGAGATAGTATTTGTACTTTTACTTAAGTAAAGGATTTAAATACTTTGTCCACCACCACTAACAGCAGTTTCAGAGGATTTTCTACCCAAACCAAGTAAAAAAAATACTGAATATTGGAACAAAATATCTGTTTTATAGGCGAAATATATGAATGCCAAAACCTCCTGAGTCTGTGATACGTCTGGAAGGTTGTGGTGAAGGTTCAAGGACCTCGTTGTCTGTGTGTTTGTGAAATGGAGTCACAACGTACTGGATTGCTCTGGACTTCCAGGAGTTGTGATTGTTGCGGGCAAAAAAATCCTTGATCACGTTTTCTTAAAAAAATGCGATGAAATATGATGTTTATGCAATTTTATGCGATGAAATTACGGGAACTTGCAAAAATTGCGGTTTGATGAAAAAGAGAAAAAGTGATTCCCGCAACACCCTGTTCTCATTAGGCTCCTACTTTAATGTAAAGAGTAATTTCTTATTACTTCCTATGATAAGTAAGCGTACTACATCACAGAAAGTGCTGGGAATATTTAAGTTCTCATCTTGTTTTATTTCAGACCTTAATAAACACATGGCTCAAACTTACAAAACATTGATGAGTGAAACAAGTTCTGTAGCTTTACAAAAAGGAATATGCTCCAACTTCTGTAAAAAATGAATAAATTATCTCTTACTGTAACGTAAATTTACATACTACTAATAAACTTACAACTGTAAGGTTGCTCCAGGTTCCCAAAACAAGTCCCTACACAGACTGAGCTACTGGAGGAAAGAAAGATAATGTTATTGTGTCTCCTGACGTTCGTTATCTTCGTTCTGTGTCTGGATAAAGTTGGTGAAAGGTTTTCTCTCACACGACGCAGGAAGGGAGTTTGACCTTCGTACGAGCGTGAAAAGATAAAAAGTTAAACACTGTTTGGTTTCATTAAACATGAATGGAGAGATTGAAAGGTTAAAAGAGGTGGTGGGTCCTTGGTAGGTAGTGGAAAAAGTACTTAGATTATTTATTTATAAGTCCTACTTTGAAGCTTTTACTTGAGTTTTAAAGTATTAGCAGCAAAATATACATAAATAATTAAAAGTATAAATACTCATTATGCAGAATTGTTCCTTTCTAAAGGATTTTAATTCATATTTAATATTATTATCATCTATAGCAGTGCCATATATCTTATAATAATTAATATTTTATATGAAAAACTCAAATCTGTAAAGTAAATACAATAAAAACACACAATATTCCCCTCTGAAATCCAGTGAAGTAGAAGTATAAATAAGTATAACTGTATTTTAATAAATAACTTTCCACCACTGCTCATAAGATAAGAGTTTCTTGATTAATAATACTGTACTGTGCTGTACGCTGTATAATGCGTGGTGGGGGAAGATGTATAAATAATATAAATTCACTTAAATTAAAGTAATAATAATATAAATAGTCAGTTAGAAACTAAAGACTTTATCATTATATTGATAAACTTTATCCTTATTTTGATAAACTTTATCCTTATTTTGATAAACTTTATGCTTATTTTGATAAACTATATCCTTATTTTGATAAACTTTATCTTTAATTGTAGAAACTTTACCATTATAATGATAAACTTTATCTTTAATTGTAGAAACTTTACCATTATAATGATAAACTTTATCTTTAATTGTAGAAACTTTACCATTATAATGAGAGACTTTATCTTTAATTGTAGAAACTTTACCATTATAATGATAAACTTTATCTTTAATTGTAGAAACTTTACCATTATAATGAGACTTTATCTTTAATTGTAGAAACTTTACCATTATAATGATAAACTTTATCTTTAATTGTAGAAACTTTACCATTATAATAATAAACTTTATCTTTAATTGTAGAAACTTTACCATTATAATGATAAACTTTATCTTTAATTGTGAACTTTACCATTATAATGAGACTTTATCTTTAATTGTGAACTTTACCATTATAATAATAAACTTTATCTTTAATTGTAGAAACTTTACCATTATAATGAGACTTTATCTTTAATTGTAGAAACTTTACCATTATAATGATAAACTTTATCTTTAATTGTAGAAACTTTACCATTATAATGATAAACTTTATCTTTAATTGTAGAAACTTTACCATTATAATGATAGACTTTATCTTTAATTGTAGAAACTTTACCATTATAATAATAAACTTTATCTTTAATTGTAGAAATTTTACCATTATAATGATAAACTTTATCTTTAATTGTAGAAACTTTACCATTATAATGAGACTTTATCTTTAATTGTTTCTTATAATGATAAACTTTATCTTTAATTGTAGAAACTTTACCATTATAATGAGACTTTATCTTTAATTGTAGAAACTTTACCATTATAATAATAAACTTTATCTTTAATTGTAGAAACTTTACCATTATAATGATAAACTTTATCTTTAATTGTAGAAACTTTACTATTATAATGATAAACTTTATCTTTAATTGTAGAAACTTTACCATTATAATAATAAACTTTATCTTTAATTGTAGAAACTTTACCATTATAATGATAAACTTTATCTTTAATTGTAGAAACTTTACTATTATAATGATAAACTTTATCTTTAATTGTAGAAACTTTACCATTATAATAATAAACTTTATCTTTAATTGTAGAAACTTTACCATTATAATGAGTTTTTTAATTGTAGAAACTTTACCATTATAATGAGACTTTATCTTTAATTGTAGAAACTTTACCATTATAATAATAAACTTTATCTTTAATTGTAGAAACTTTACCATTATAATGAGACTTTATCTTTAATTGTAGAAACTTATTTTTGATTTACCATTATAATAAGAAACTTTATCTTTAATTGTAGAAACTTTACCATTATAATAATAAACTTTATCTTTAATTGTAGAAACTTTACCATTATAATGATAAACTTTATCTTTAATTGTAGAAACTTTACCATTATAATAATAAACTTTATCTTTAATTGTAGAAACTTTACCATTATAATGATAGACTTTATCTTTAATTGTAGAAACTTTACCATTATAATAATAAACATCTTTTAATTCTCATCAGCACCAGATCAAGTTTGGCTGCGCGGTACAGACGTCATTACAGCTTCTCTGTGGACCAATCAGAGCGCAGGAGGCGGTCCTAGAACGCACGAGGGTTAGATTGACTTACGGAGGGCGAGAAGTTGCCCCGCGTGGGATGCTTATCCAATCAAACATACGGATCAATAACTTCTGGAGGACTCCCACACACCTGCCATGACTGAAGAAGATACCGTATGTACACGTATATTATCTGTAATTCATTAGAGGAGAGCTTCTGCTGACGTGACGCGTTTATTGACGTATTCCTAGTTTAAGGAAGCTGTCACTCGTGCGTCACCAAACTGCGTTGAAAAAAGTGACAGTTTAACACTTTTGTGTTTTAATTGTAGTCGTTCATGCCAGCTTGGACATAATTAAACCAATTTTACGTGTTATTAGAGGCTGCATTAACATTCGGCTCACATTTAAAGTCGTAACATTGTCTTATTATAGTTAAACATTTCCAAAACGTGCTCACCTGGTCGCCGTGAAAGCGCCATCGCCTCTAATGTCAACACACCCTTTAAGTGAGATAACCTGGAAGCACAGGGCTGCAGCCGACGCCGAATTCACCTCATGACCCAGCTGGTTCGTTTGAGGTCTGGCTTCATGTGACTAGGCATGCCTAGAGTCTAGAAACAAGGAGAAACAGGTTGTCTAATTCATGTTTTGGACTCATATTTTGTAAATAGGAATAATGGCAACTATCAATCACATTTATTGGGGACTATAACTTTTAGTGAGACTCATATCTGAAGCTCGTTACATTCCTGTGGAGATTTAGTACCATGTTCTGCTTGGGTAGTCTGATGAAGACAGTAAGCAGGAAAGACACTAATTCCTCACTTTCTTCCTTCAACCCAAAAGGTTTTAATCTTTCTGTTCTGTCTTTGTAGGTTTAGCTCTCGGAGACATGGACGGGCACGAAGAGGAGAGACTGTGTGGGAAATGGAGGGTTGCCTGCGGTTTGTACAGTTACAACCTGAGGGATGTCTTCACGTGGTGAGCGCTCGTCCAGCTGTTTGATAAACCTTTTACACAGTCACAGTAGGAGAAAGCACAGGTGTAATTAATATAATTAAAGATAGCTGAGTGTCATTTAACTGCTGCAGAACAGAAACATCGTTAATATTTATACAGTATATTGACTATACTGCAGTTATGTTTCTTATTTTGCTCTATTACAGTAACTGCATTTAAGCTCTGCTCTGTGTACTTAATGTCATATTTATCTTTAAGGATTAAAAAAATGAGAATTTTCTGCCATTAACTGTTTTTAAATCCTTAACATTAGAGAAAAAATAACATTATCCCAATAAATACAGTATTAAAGAGCCACTTTACACCCCTTGTCACAGTGTACTGTCACTGTTGTGGCTTGAAGCTTTGTTTGACAGTTTAATCTGAGTTTTGAGAGCTGGATGGACTAACTATTTTGATTTAAATTGGACCATAATTTACTAAATGAACATCATAATGTATTGAAGACGATGTTCAACTAGCGACTGAGACCATAAACACATCAGGAAATGATTTACTGAGCTCATAAATGAAGTTATAAGTCGGCTCGTTTCTCCATTAGAGTGAATGGGATCGCTGCTCCCTCTGCTGGCCGTTACAGAGAATACACCTCAGAGTTCTCAGACCTGGAAGCTCTGTTCGTTATTTAAACAGTCAGTGATCGACGCTCAGAGATCCTGATCACAGGAATGTAGACGGACTCGTAAATCCACAGTGTTGCCTTCAGGTGCAGCTCCCTTCCCTCCTTTTACAGCCCCTTGACGAGTCTGACCAACTCCAGAAGGGGGGGCTGTTGTGTTGGATAGTATCATACACTCACTGTAGTTCAGGTAGTTTACATGCAGTGTATGTGACTCTCCAGGCGTCTGCTGAAGACCATCGTCATGGGGCAGGTGTTGTCCCTGCTGATCTGTGGGACGGCGGTGAGCTGTCAGTACCTGGCCGACGCCGGCGTGGAGACACCGATGCTCCAGAGCTTCCTCAACTACGCCCTGCTGCTGCTCGTCTACACGACCATCCTCAGCGCCCGCAAAGGTCCGGGGACGGCGTTCTGATTGTTCTCCAATAGATAGGCGACAAGTTTATGGTTATACCTGAGACTCTTAGGTAGGTTAGAACCTTTTTTTGTTTCCCCACAGGTGAAAGAAACATCCTGCAGATTTTAAAAACCAAGTGGTGGAAGTATCTGGTGATGGGTCTGGCAGACGTGGAGGCGAACTACGCGGTTGTGAAGGCCTACCAGTTCACCACCCTGACCAGTATACAGGTGAGATAAACCAGTGCTGATCCACCAGTTCACCACCCTGACCAGTATACAGGTGAGATAAACCAGTGCTGATCCACTAGTTCACCACCCTGACCAGTATACAGGTGACATAAACCAGTGCTGATCCACTAGTTCACCACCCTGACCAGTATACAGGTGAGATAAACCAGTGCTGATCCACTAGTTCACCACCCTGACCAGTATACAGGTGAGATAAACCAGTGCTGATCCACTAGTTCACCACCCTGACCAGTATACAGGTGAGATAAACCAGTGCTGATCCACTAGTTCACCACCCTGACCAGTATACAGGTGACATAAACCAGTGCTGATCCACTAGTTCACCACCCTGACCAGTATACAGGTGAGATAAAGGATCAGTGTAATTGATCCACTAGTTCACCACCCTGACCAGTATACAGGTGACATAAACCAGTGCTGATCCACTAGTTCACCACCCTGACCAGTATACAGGTGACATAAACCAGTGCTGATCCACTAGTTCACCACCCTGACCAGTATACAGGTGAGATAAACCAGTGCTGATCCACTAGTTCACCACCCTGACCAGTATACAGGTGACATAAACCAGTGCTGATCCACTAGTTCACCACCCTGACCAGTATACAGGTGACATAAACCAGTGCTGATCCACCGGAGGGTTACCTGATGATGTTTTATACTGTATTAAATATGAATTATATAATAACAAAAATAAACATTTCCATTAGCTGTTTATCGTGAGATCATTAAAAGTTACTACATAAGACCAGAATCAGATTTTTTTTAACCTTTTTTTGGTCCGTATAATCAATTATTTGCTAAAATTAAGTAAATTAATCTTTTTGACAATTGATGGTTGTTTTTTAAGCAAAAATGCCCGAAAATGTGATTATTTGTTGTATTTATAGTCTTCTGTGGTAAGAAACTGAATAAATTTGGATGTTTAAACAAAAAAATAATAATTTAAAATCTTTTTCACAATATTTAACAATCAATTAGTCTAGAAAATTAAAAATAAATCCGATGTGTGAAGGTTATCCGTCTGTTTACGTAACGACGGTTTGTTACTGTGCGTTTACAGCTGCTGGACTGCTTCGTGATCCCCGTGCTGATGGTTCTCTCCTGGTTCTTCCTGAAGACCCGCTACAGGCTGGTCCACTTCGTCGCCGTGATGGTGTGTTTGTTTGGGGTCGGCGCCATGGTGGGAGCCGACATCCTGGCCGGACGGAACCAGGGATCCAGTAAGGACACGGTTCCATTATTTATATCTTAATGTGAGACTTTATAGCTCCGACCTGTTGGGAGGTTTCTAGGTAAGGAAAATATAAAATGAGTAAACCTAAACCTAGAAAAACATCTTTAACAATCTTGTGTATACCGTAAAACTTCCAATGAAAGCAGGGTCCCTAATAGACGAAGGTCTCCAATAGAGGCCTGGTCTGGATTTTAGAGAAATTATCTCGATGTATAAAACCTCTTAAAACCCACCGGGTCGTTTTGATCTCCTACACAAATATAAATGTTTAAACTTCTGTCAGTATGAACATAATGAACATCGTTAGATCAGTTATAGATTCTCCACAATTCAATCGTTCAATATATTTTACGAAAACTAACAACAACAAAGTTTAACGTTAATTAATTCTGAATTACCGGTAACACGGTAAACAAGAGAGACGGAATAAAACCTCTGAAGCATCATAATAATCATGTTAGTTGTCAAATTTGCTGAATAAATCTTAAGAGAAGCAGCAGTTAGAGTTTAGTTTAGTGCTAAAGGAATTAAAGGCCTGTCCCCAATAGAGGCCTGTCCCCAATAAAGGCAGGGGGAGTTCAGTGACTTAAGCAAATAAACGCCCGGGCTATTAGAAGTTTAACGTTATGTATATATATATATATATATATATATATATATACATATATATAAATATATATTTAGCTACAGAGCAAAACACTAGCTAACTAACTAGCTAGCTAGTTACATCTTATAGCTAAGATTAGCTAGCTAGTTGACACTTTGCTAACGACTGATGTAAATTAGTTAACTAGCGTTTTGCTTGCATTATCTTTCAGCTTTAACTAGCTAGCTAAGGATTAATGTAAGTTAGTGAGCTAGTTAGCTAGCGTTCTGCTAAAACTTTTACACATTCGTGGATTTTCTGTGATTGTGTCTATAAAAGCGACACTTTGGGTGTTTTTACCTCCTAAATAAAATAATTTTAAATCAGGTTAAACTGACAGAATGTATGTGTAATATAATATAATATTATAATAATATAAATATTTGCCACATAAATCTTATTACCGTAAAACTTCTAATAATAGCCCGGGCGTTTATTTGCTTAAGTCACTGAACTCCCCCTGCCTCTATTGGGGCCAGGCCTCTATTTGGGACAGGCCTCTATTGGGGACCGGCCTTTAATTCCTTTAGGACTAAACTAAACTCTAACTGCTGCTTCTCTTAAGATTTATTCAGCAAATTTGCAACTAACATGATGATTATGATGCTTCAGAGGTTTTTTTTCCGTCTCTCTTGTTTACCGTGTTACCGGTAATTCAGAATTAATTAACATTTTACTTTGTTGTTGTTTGTTTTCGTAAAATATATTGAACGATTGAATTGTGGAGAATCTATAACTGATCTAACGATGTTCATTATGTACATACTGACAGAAGTTTAAACATTTATATTTGTGTAGGAGATCAAAACGACTTAAAACTCGCTCAAACGGGCGACCCGGTGGGTTTTAAGAGGTTTTATACATCGAGATAATTTCTCTAAAATCCAGACCAGGCCTCTATTGGAGACCTGCGTTTATTTGTCAAAACGTGTAGCCACACCAGGCTTTTAAAAGAGACCTGCATCTATTAGGGACCCTGCTTTTATTGGAAGTTTTACGGTATCTCATACAATCTGAACCTGCCGCTCTCTGTGCAGCCAGTGACGTGGTGCTAGGAGACGGTCTGGTCCTGCTCAGCGCCGTCCTCTACGCCGTGTCCAACGTGTGCCAAGAGTACACGGTGAAGAACCTGAGCCGAGTCGAGTTCCTGGGAATGATGGGACTCTTCGGGACCCTCATCAGTGGCGTTCAGCTGTAGGTTAATGTTTAAATCCCTCACATGTTTCTCACTTATAGGACACTCGCCAGCCAATGTCTAAATAAAGTTCATCTTTATTTAGTTTGTCAGATATCTGAGCAGTTTTTAAGTTATATTACAGGTATTTAACACTTTAAATAGATAAAAACACTCTCTGCCATCCAAATGTCTTAGAAATAAGACAAATACACAACTGTGCTACAAAATACTCACCGACATTTAAAGCTTTGTTTGTGTTTTAAGAGAAAAATAAACTACTTTCTCCACCGTGCTGATGTTTGTGTTGTTTGACATTGCAGAGCTGTTCTGGAGACTCGTGCAGTGGCTGCGATAAAGTGGGACTTTCACATCGGTAAGTTCACTTTAAGGGAGTGTCGAGGTGTCCGTAATCAGGAGTTAAGGAGGCACTTACCAAAGAAACCAAATAAGATCATGAATTAATATTTCCCTGCAGCCACTCAGAAGTATTTGATTGTGTGTTTGATGTAAAATCAGCTGATTGTCAGTCTCACTGTGCTCTGCAGCGATGCTGTTCGCGCTCTACGTCCTGTGTATGTACGGACTGTACAGCTTCATGCCCGTGGTGGTGAGGATGACCAGCGCCACCGCGGTCAACCTCTCTCTGCTCACCGCCGACCTCTTCAGCCTCTTCTGCGGCCTCTTCCTCTTCCACTACACGGTGAGCGTTAGCGGACGCTGTCAGGTGCTCATTCGTGCTTTAATGTGCTCGATATCAGTTTGTATAACTTTAGAAACAGCAGAATCGTCGATATAATGACTATTTATGTAAAAAATAATGACTATTGTATGTATTCAGTTTTATTTTACCATTTTAGTCCAGTTATCAAGGTTGAATAAAAACATGCTTCCTCCTTTTGTAAGTGAGTAATTGCACCGTGACCTATAATCTGGTTTATTTTTGTTAAAATACATTTTAGTACAAACGTATGAGACAACTCAGAACAACATAATAAACTTTACATTAGGTTGTTGTTGATTTAGAGCAGTGGTTCCCAACCTTTCTCCCTTAAAGGACCTCTATTCTATAATATATTAAACTGACCTCATAACATATTTTATTGATATATTTAATATTATATTAAAAACTGTTCAATGAACCCAAACAGTGAACTCGTACGGGAGTTTTGTAAATTAGGATTTAAATATTTTTTGTTTTGTTTTTTATTTTCTCTGTATTGTTTATTTTTTAATAATTATAAAGACTTATTAAGCTTCTTCTTTGACAGATTTAGTTTTTTTACCTGTCGTATTTTCCTCACAGAAGTGAACAAAATCCTGAACGGCCTACTGTGTATATATTTTGTTTTATATTTTCTAGCACATCTTAAAATCAAGAAGGCCTTGTGACCCCCACCATGAAGCTTTAGCGACCCCTAGTTGCAGTCCCGACCCTCAGGTTGGGAACCACTGAGATAGACGGACGCTTCTCGGATGCTTCGGTGTCGCAATTATCCGCTCAGCTTTGCTCACTAGTGTCCATTTCAGTCGTAAACAACATTAAAGATAAAAAATAAAACTAGCTTTGCTTACCAACAGGCCACTAGTTCAGACTGACAGTGGAGCGCCCTCTGCTGGATCACAAAGGAAACTACCTCAAACTGTCTTTGGTGCTTAAATATTGTACATTTTTAATTAGAAACATGTATATTAGTATAAAATAAATGTCCATGAACTGTTATAGTACGATATGCAGCACTAACATCTCCTATCTTGTGTCTCGTTCCTCAGTTTTCGACCCTGTACATCATCTCCTTCGTCGTCATCACTTTGGGTTTCGTCATGTTCAACGCCGTTCCAACGTACTCCGCCCTGCCGGAGTCCAGCTCCAGTGAGGACGACCCCGCCGCCACCGCCGACACGGCGGAGAGCTCCTCGGACCGCCTCCTGACCGCAGACGCTCGGTTGACGGAGACGCTCACAGAGGTCGCCGCGTTGTGACCGAAGAGAAAGAGACGGTTCCACGTTTGTTACAGAAGAAATTTCACTTTGTTTTTGGTTCTCTGACATCGTTTTACATCATTTGTGCTGGTTAAAGTTAAAAAAAGACCCTTTTTTTATTCCTTTTTATGTTTTTAAAGATATTTCTTTATCAGAGGTGATGAATTATGATCTGTTACTGCACTTATACGGACGTCAGTGTATACAATGCACCGATATGGCTGCTATTTGATTGTCCCGAAACCCTGATCAGTTGTCACTTTTTTATATATTAATATATTTGATAATTTACATCAGCAGTATCATTGTTATTGTTATTGTTGTTGTTGTTTTTAACCGCTCTGACAGACCTATCACGATATTGTATTTTCCTTTTGTTGCCAGACCTGCTGTTACTTCATATCCAGTAAAATCAAATGACTTTCTTTGCCAAAAGTAAAACCTTTTTTACGATTAAATTAATTTTATATTATCTCGGTTCATTTCTGTTATATATATACTATAAATGTTTCTGTTTTGGTTATTTTTACATACATTTAATACAAGGACGAAGCCTGTGTGGACGTATATATGATATTGTGATCTTACGTAAGCTACAGCGAAGTGACACAACGAACCTCAATAAATTATATTTAAAATAATAAAAAAAAAAAATAAGTGGCTTTACAACCGACCAAACTGTGAGTTTATATAAAATTATAATATTTAGAGTTATTTTTAACATCCTTCCTGTTGAAAGCAAACAGACTCTGGTCAAAGCAAACCTGACATCAAATATCTAATAATATTTAGCTTTTTGTGAATTATTGGATCATTTTTTGACCTTTTTAAACTTATTTAAATGAAACAATGTGAGAAATGTAGAAGGGAAATGTGTTAACAGCTCAGACATCTAAAATATAACTTTTCTTGTAACAATATTATGTTTATCTTGTTACTTTTACCGTTGTTATGTTTAAATATAACAATACAAGTCATGTTAACGGAAACCCTTAAGTGTGTGTCTCTAACCGGAAGTCGTTAATTTAATTGGGTTGATGAATTTATAATATATATATATAAGTATTTACAGATTTGAGCTTCAGAGGAACGTTTTTATGTTAAAAGTTTATATATTTACACATTAACACATTTTACTCAGACTAAAAGCTGAAGTAAAATACATTGTTCAAATAATACAGTGCATGATGTTTATTCAAGTGTTTATTCTTCTGATAAGTTTATTTAGTTATTTGAAGCTATAAAAACCGGATCACTGCAGAAATACTTTATTGATCCCCAGCGAGGGAAATTTGTTTAGTTCCAGTTGCTCACAAGACATTAAAGAAATAGTAAAATAATAATATATAACACTAAAAAATATGTTTTACGATATCTAACACAATATATATAGAAAATAGAAAAATAAAATGTATATATTCGGGGATATTTTAGCTTTATTTTTGTACATTGTGGGATGTTGATGCCCCCAAGTGGCCAATAGGGTTAATACAGGTTAAAAAACAGGGTGGACTAATATTATTTTAGAGGTCCAGGAACTTCCTGCACACTGTTTCTAATAACGTGTCCAATAGCTCACAGGTTTGAGTCCCAACAACAACAACCAGCTGTATTTAAAATCTTGTTTGTCATTTAAAATAACAAATACATACAATTATACACTTTTATCTGTAGAAATGTACCTTTAGAGGGTAAAATCTAACCACATACAGAATCTAATGATGTTTTAAAGCATTATCTGGGGCAGAAATGCATTTAAATGTATAGAAATACTGATGTTAAAGGAGGGTTTTTTTTTGGTATTCTGCGCTGCATTGCTGTGCTGTAGCTTTTAGAGCTGCTCAGCCTCAGTCAGTGTCATCATGGAGGAACAGCAGACGACTGGAGCCGAGTGAAGAGGACGAAAAAACGTTGCACCCATCCTCGGTTTCACCTGCGTATTACTATAAAACAAAAAAGGTAAGAATAAAACACCTTGAATCTATCATTTGTTATCGATTATATCGCTTTTATTTCCCTGCACAGCCGACGGTTACATGTTATACATGTGTGCGGATTATGTGCTAATGAGACCTGGAGGAGACCGAGCTTTAGGAGAGAGGGTTGCTTTTACTGGATTACGACAGTCTGAAGGGGGAATAAACGTTTGAGAACCGGTGGTACCGTGTGTTGTGTGTGTGTGTGTGTGTGTGTGTGTGCTGCACCGAGCAGAGACGCTGCGTCCCGGCGGCCCCGAGGTTCAGCACCGCGGACAGCTCCGGAGCTTCTTGTGTTGGGGGGGCTGACTGTCGGCCTCAATAACCCCCCCCCCACCTTTATTCTCATCTGATTTCAGGTGATCACTCCACTCAAACAGCACCGGACACACCTGAGAGGACACAGCAGGCAACATGAAGCATTTCCTAAGGTAAAGAGAGACTCCATTAACCGCCACTGATTTACATATTCTGTGGAGGAATCTGTGTGTGTGTGTGTGTGTGTGTGTGTGTGTGTGTGTGTGTTACCACTGATCAATCGATATCAGTATCCAGTGTCCATGAAGTGGTTTGTTGTGGTGTGAACTGGTTTGAGTGTTGTCGTTCAGAGGAGGCCTCTTTAAAGTAGGGTGGTCTCTCTCTCTCTCTCTCTCTCTCTCTCTCTCTCTCTCTCTGGTGAATCTATTAATAATCCTGTTTCTTCTTCTATTTATATGATAAAACATTTAATTATATATATTAGGGGCATTTCTAAGAGTTCAATCAGGAGAGTTGAAGTCGATGGAGCAAAGATGAGTGTTTATTATGATATTTAATGTAAAGTCTGAAGGTCAAATTCACTCATTATTAATCGAATATTAAATATAATATATTTAAAAGCAAATCTAATTCAGTTCTAGCCTGATGTAGGGCAACAGTTTTGGGCCCCGAATGCAGAACAAAGTGCCCCGAATCTGATCTTGTTTTTGCTTAAACTGATCAGATTTATTTTAACGACACAAACTACAACATTAAATCGGATTTGGGTCGATTCAGGTTTGATTTATTTGCAGCCTGAGTGTGAACAGTCGAATCAGAATTCACACCACAAACCTTATATATATATATATATATATATATATATGTATATATATCAGTGCTGATTCATTGTTTCCTCCTCTTCCTCCAAGAGTGAAAGAGAAACTACGGTGGTTATGAAACACATTAAAACGCTCTTATCTTTTTTTTTTATCATTCTAATGACACAGGTTTAAATCTAAGTGTTTATATAGGCGCGTAAATAAGACATAAAAAGGCAAAAATAACACAAATAAATAAATATGAACACACACTAGACGTAACCACACGTTCTATACAGTAGAAAATATGTTAAATGTGTCGCTGTCTCTCCGTTTATTTACAATTTATTTCTGTTTATTAAGGAAAACGTGTCATTTTTATTCTCTATTACAGGGAAATGTATAGTTGGAATTGGTAGGTGTGTTTAAAGTGGAGGAGCAGTTATTATCTCAGTGTTTTACCTACAATGTTCTTAAATATCACCGAACAGTTGGAAGATCTACGATATTGAAAACGTGGTTGAACATACGAATAAGATTTTAGATAAATGAGCTAAAATAGAGTAAAAACTGACAGAAAGCAGCGGAAGATATTAAAGTGTTAAATTGTGATTTAAGTGGTGAATAAAAACTGATCCTTCATGTTTATGTGTGTATATTCAATTTTAGACGTCAAACATATTGTAAAAATGTTATTTTATTGTGTCGTCAGCACTAAAAAATGATGATAAAACGAATAAAAAGCTGCTTTCTGGCAGCGGTGCTTTAGTGTTTCTCCCTAATTGGACCACATTTCCCATAAATCTCTTTGTTTCCCACTTAAACCTGTTCCCATCATCTTCCCCTGTTGAGCTTTCACTCCTTTGGCTCCATTTATTGTTAATGAACGGTGGAGCTCGGTGGTGGAGGCCGTTTATTTATCTCCACTGGTTTGTTTACAGTAATTATACTAATGAGCTCAAATGGACGCGGTAATAGTTTTCTGATGTAAAAATGTTTAATGTCGCACCTTTTTTTAATGGTTTTGGCTGATCGGCGTGTTCAGAATTAATTAAAGGGGAACTCCAGTGATTTACTGGCGCTCTTCCATAAAGACGGAGCAGCCGAGGGCGGAGATATCCCGACTTTTAGCTCCCAGTTTGGTCCCAATCCCACAATAAGCAAACAATGCCACACTTCCTGTTTGTAACACAGTGATTCGGTTATAGATTTGTAGTTTTTAAGCCCAGACTCACATTTTCTGAGCTCCACCCGACACACAGAAGGCAATCGAGGTCTGTTTTATCTTTGAAAACGCATAAATTGGGAATGACTGGAGAGCTGAGACACATAATCCAGTTAAAATAAAGTCTGGAAACACCCCTGTTGGGTAAGTTTCTCCATTAGAGTGAATGGTATCAGTAGTTGCCCCCTGCTGGCTGTTACAGAGAATGCAGGTTTAAGACACTTTACATTTAATTTTCTGCACAGAAGTGAACAAAATGCTGAGATTTAGACCTACTGTGTTTATTTTTTTACATTTTCTAGCATGCTTTAAATCAATAAGGCCTTGTGATCTATGTGTAGAATCAGTGGACTGCCCCCTTTATCAATCCCGTAAGTGTTTGGTCGCAGTACAACCTCTGAATCCTCCCATCGCCCTTTCTTTATGCTCGTTTCCATGAAGGTTGAAGCAAATGACAACGTCTGTATGAGCTGTTTAACGTACCAGTCTCATCCACAGACTGTCGGGTTTTTTGTTGTTGACACAGAAGATGATATTACGCTGTGATCACTCAGCGTCAGGAGGATTTATTTCTGTTGTAAACTCTGTTTCCACCAAAGCAAACAAAGCGGGAAGTGAGACGCTGCTCGTGCGGCTCACACAGGGACGTTTGTAGGTTATTTAAAGTGCAAGTTGTGCTGTTTTTCTCAGCTTCACAGACAACGTTAGGCCTGATAATAGATTAAAATCTGCATTTGTATTCTATTAAATGGTCATCAATCAGATGATTGAAGGTCTTTCTACGTTAAAATAACATGAAATGTGTGCAGAGTGAAATAATTTAGTCTTTAATGGGTCACAAAGTATTTCCCAAGGAACTCGTCTCCATTTTCATTCTCAGTGTCACCTGTAAAAATAGCCCAAACTGATGATCTGCTGCAACCTGGTAGAACAGTTTTCTTTCCTTTCGTATGTCGTCCTCACTGCTCGCTGCTCTTCTGTTGTGTGAAACGTGTCTTTTATTGTCTTTTAGAAAAAGGAATAAGGTAAATAAGAGTGGAAAACAATGAAAAACAAGATAAACAAAAGGAAAATACGTGTAAAATATATGTATATATAGTTTATAATTTACAATTTATACAAAAGAGGAGAAAAAGAAAACTACAAAATTAAAAGGAAACGAGCCCCGTTAGCAGTTAGATCAGTTAATTCGTCATTTTGTTTCAGGAAATCGTAGAAAACATAAAATATTTCCCCAAAAAATTTTGATAAATAGTTCATATTTTTCAAGAGCAAAGTGAAGTCACTCACAGATTGTTACTTTCTAACGTTTAACCTCCAACAAACATACATCGAGTACAGACCTGACATTGTTTGAAGTTATAAAATCATCTGGATGATTATTAAAAATACATAATTTAGGATTAAAAACATGATCTGGGGCAATAATACCATTAATACCTGATGTAGGATCTGTTCTATATTAATGAATTAAAGTGAATGAAAATAAAACTCTGATACTTTAGTCTCAATGTCTCTACCGGATAGTTTTCAGGACTAAACTGTCCAAATGAAACAACCTGTGGACACTTTAACCACTCAAACATCTGGGAACATCAGTTTCATACACACATCTGTCTCTCCTCTGTCTCCTCCTCTCCAGTGTGGTGACCCAGTTCTTCGTGTTCCTCTACTGTAAATGTCTGTGGCGGGGCCTGAAGTTTGTCGCCAGGAAGTTCACGGGGCGCTGCGAGCTGCAGCGGATCTGCTACAACAACAAGCACGGAGCCCGCAGGACCCTTAAGATAGGTAGAGCTGCCCGCACGCTGCCCGACACTCAGTTTTCTACTTACTACTTCGTTTTAAGGTTCAAGAGATCCTTTTTTTCTATCATTTACTAAACTCCAAATGACATATTTTATGGATCAGAATCGGGATTATTGCCAAAAAACATAGAAAAATAGAAATAAAGGTAAAAATAGAGACAAAACAAGAGATAATATATACAAATATATAAAGTAAAGTAAATAAAAACTGCAGGAAGTTTGTGTAAAAAGACTGATTTTGATGAATTATTGAGCAGATTATTTCTTTTTATACAATTCTCTGTCTGTATTATATTTTTATAAGTTTTTAACAATCATACAGACTTAAAAGTCTTCTTTTTGGACTAATTCAGACGCTTGTTGTTGTAACTGATGCTGGATGATGAGATATTGGCCTACTGTGTATATTTTTAAAGTTTTTCTTTACCCCTTAAAACCAAGAAGGCCTGTGAAGCTTTGGTGACCCCTAGTGGAGGGACCTGACCCCCAGGTTGGGAACCACTGCTGTAGATAGTACTTTAGATAGTATCCCCTCAGTGTAGGCAGAGCTGATCCGTTGGGAAACAACTCAGATAAAAGACAAAAGTGCTCCAGGCTCTAAAAATCTCGACTTTTAAAGAGAGATCAATAAAAATCTACTACAATAAATCAGGTAAAAACAAGAAAAACTCAATATATAAATGTTCTTATCTGCCACATTCAACATAAATGTTTTTGAAGCTACTAAATAAAACAGCTTTTAATGTTATTCTCACACTTTGCAACCTTTTATCTTCCAGAGTCGTCTCTGCGGTACTCCAAGAATGAGGTACGGGGGCTTTAAATCTATAAATATACTCAATAAATGTCCAATAAAACAAAAGTGTGTCGCTCAGCTTTACATTTATCCCCTTTTTTTGTGTTCGTCCTCCATCTTTTCCCCTTCCTCCAGCTGCTGCAGTCGGCCCTCAGCGTCCACCCTGACAAAGTGGAGAAAACCATCGACAACATCATGGCCTTGAAGAGGATTAACCCCGACACCAACCCACAGTGAGACGCCTTCACATCACCTTCACTCTACCGTCACTTATTAACACCAGAGTGTGGCTGTGAAAGTGAATAAATATAACAACACGTCCGCCTCCTCTGCAGTGACTTCTTAAAGCTGATAGGTCTGATATCCGTCACACTCACAGCCCCTCTTCCTCTCTCCACGTGTCCCCAGGCTGAGCATCTCTCTCCAGGCCAGCCTGCTGCAGATTGTGGGCTACAGGAGCCTGGTGGCGGAGGTGGAGAAGCTGCGCAGGGAGCCGTACGACTGCGAAAACCCCGAACACGAGGACATGCTGATGAAGGTTTGAAGATAAAAAAATAATCAGAACAACAAGAATAATCATCTTTAGGATCAATAACCCCCCAAACTTAAGTTCCCTTTCACTGACTCTGACTTTTATTTCAACTGTTTATCCATTAATTTATCTATTCATCCATTAGTCTACTACTTTAATCAACTATTTAATTGTTTTTCCACTCATTTTAGAAAACTAATTAAACATTATGTTACCCATTAATTATTTCAACTGTTGGATCATTAATTGTAGATATTTAAACTGTTTACCGATTACTTTTATTTTAGTTAATTATGTCAACTGTGTATCGATTAGTTTCTAGACATATTTAAACTGTTTATATATTAACTTTAGCTTCTTTTTCCTATTTTAAACCATTTACTCTATTATTTTAACTAAAGATTTCAACTTTTTATCCATAACTTTTACCTTTGAGTCAGAAAGCTCATATAAGGCACAATGTTAATTAACATTATAATGAATATAATCGAGCATGCAGTCCTTATTCATAGTTAACACAGTTTAATCTCTCGTTAAAACAGATATTATTGTATTAATCTGTGTGTGTTGCAGCTGTGGAAGGAGCTGCGTCCTGACACTCCTCTCACCGGACGAATCTCCAAACAGTGGTGTGAGATCGGTTTCCAGGGCAGCGACCCGAAGACAGATTTCAGAGGCATGGGCCTACTGGGCCTCCACAACCTGCTGTGAGCTCAACTTTAATGGGATTAATAAGACGTATTAGTTACTTCCACGCACACATACATGATGATATATGATTGATAATCTACAGGCGACGAGGTTTCCTTTTTCTTGAAGCTCCTCTCGTCTCTCTGCAGGTATTTCGCTGAGCACGATAAGGCCACCGCTCTGCAGATGCTCCACGACTCGCTGCAACCAAAGCACAAGTACGACAGCCCGCCTCTTACTAAAGCATGATAAACACTGAAGGAATACACCAGGTGTTTCTGTAGAGAGTCTCTCTGGTTGGTTGCAAGCGAGACAGTTTATTAATTTAAACTTTCAAAAGCAATGAGATGGGACGAACAAACAGACAAAGGAGCACAAAAGGTGCTTTTTATTATGCTAATGTGTCTCCTCGCTCGCTTCCCTTCCTCATGTACTGATCAGTGTTATGATAACTTATAATCTATTTAATAATAATTACTTGTATTATTATTATCTGCACAATAACACACATTACCTTTTTATTTTACACTACACTAACTAGAAAAAGCACAAAAACAAACACAAAACTTTGAGATTAAATTATCCTATAAATCGTTATTTATCACACACGTTATATTGGGTCTCACCACGTCACTATAATGTATTATATTATGTGTTAGATCCTCATACAGACACAGTAAGAGCTGCTGTCAGCACTTTTTTACATCACGCCCACTTGATAAAAGACGTCCGTGTAGGATGGAACTGGCGTTTCTTTGCTCCCAGCTCCTCCAGGTGCATTTAGGGAAATGTAGGATCCTTCTTGATGGTGGATGGGGGGGGTCCCAGGAGGAGAGAGGAGGCGAAGAAGCACAACCTACGTCTTTTATCAAGCAGCGTGATGTAAAAATTTGCTATTTGTATGTTTTAGCCTGAGAAAATTCAATGATTCTTTCATTCTTACAGTTTATTCTGACTCTTACTCTGTAGCGTCTGTATGGGGATCTGACACATAATATAATACAGTTATGTGGTGGTGGTGATAAATAACGATCTGCTGGAGCATCACGCAAAGAAACAGTTTTTTATTGTACACTACAGTCGACATACACACACTTTATTGTGCAGAATAATGCAGGTAAATATGTGTATATAAGATAGAATGTGCCTACAGTTTACATCTCTAAATCAGGAGCTTCTGCTGTCCTTGTTTTTAAGCCGTTTGGACTGATTGATAAACTATTGTAGGTGACCAGTCGGAGGCGAGGGCGGTAACGGGAACAGAGTAGAGGCAAAACAAAACACCACACTAACTCGTAACACGTTTTAGTTTAATATTATTCTTAAATAAGAACTTCTGTGGACATTTGTACCAGTTTGACGTCACTTACATGAAGAAGGATATCTCATTGTGGCAGATCTCCTCCGTCCTCACGTCTCCTCCTCACTGGGAGGAGCTGAGACGCGAGGAAAGGAAGCGAGCGAAGGAAAACGAGGAGACGAGCACCTTGAATACACAAGAGAGTAAAGATAATGAGATTCAGGGAACAGGAAGTTTAAATATGCCAAAATAAAACCATTATCAGCTTCATAAGGCGATAAAATAACAACGTTATCCATCGGTATCTTTCTACCAGACACTTTGTGTATCCCTTTCTCTTTTTTAATGCACTCAATCATTCATAACTGCTCATTCTGCTCACTTATATTCATTCCTGCAGCTTTTTTTATGTCTTTCACTGCTGCCTTCTTTTACTGACTGCTGCTGCTCGTATTGTTTGTGCCATCGGCGTCTCACTGAGCCGTCCCCATTTCACAAATGAAGATTCTTCTTCTTGTTTCTCCTCCACCTCCACCTCCACCTCCACCTTTCTGCCCATGCCTCCTCCTCCCTACCACCACCCCCACCCCGCCCTCTGCTCTCTAAACCCTCACATGCACTGTAGGAGCACACACAGAAAGCCAAGGTACTTGATTTCACTTTCATTCTTTCCACTGCATTCATTAGCTTTCTCTTTTGGGTTTGATGTGTCGTGCGCTGTTGTTTGTTTCATGCATTTTAAAAGCTGCACTAAAAGCATGATTTATATGTAATATGGTGGGTTATATTAGTGGTTCCCAACCGTCTGCCTTAAGGGAGCCCTTCTTTATATGGATATTTCATATTATATTACAAAACTGTACAATGAACCCAAACTGTGAACTCAGTAACTGCAGGAAGTTTGTGTAAAACCAGAGATTTGGATGAATTTCAAGCTGATTTTTTTTCTCTTTAGGGAACTTTTTATAAATTTCTTTAACAATCATACAGACTTAAAATGCTTCTTTATTGACAAATTCAGTGTTTTCTTGTCCCTGACACTTGGCTTCCTACAATGATTCCTGTATTTAAGCGATATACACTAATTTGAATGTAACTATAAATATTATATTCAATTTCTGCCTGTAGATCCTCCTAAATGTTACACACTGGGACCTTTTAAAACACTATTTTTACATGGATAATAATATATTGATGTTTGTTGTGCCACATTTGAATTAACAAGAGAAAAAACAGCAATTGTATTAATTGTATGGATAATTAGGACAGATAATTTAACAAATTAAATTAGTTTAACACGCAGTTTAGAGTCACTGATGTAAATTAACTGAATCTCAGGATCAGATTAAAACCTTTAAGACTTCACTTTGACTTCAAATTAAATCTATAATGTTACACAGACAAGAATAAATGTATTTTTATATTTTCAAACAATCTCCTTCCACAAGAAATGCATTCATTTGAGAAACAAAGCTCATAAAAGTTTTAACTGAGACTTTAAGAACTCAGTGATGTTTCCAAGCAGCCAGTATTTGACTGAAGTGTTTGTCCTCCACAGTGAGATGAACAAGTCTGAATGGGAACAGAAGAACCTTGACAAAGCTATCGGGTAAGTGTCTGCAGGAAGGAAGAAACTGCTGCTGGAGCTGTGTGAGGTTTGGCCTCAATACAGAGCAGTTTTAGCCTCTGCAATGTGTGTGTGTTAATAAGGCAGGAAGTGCTTGTGTGTGTGTGTGTGTGTGTGTGTGTCCTCCAGTCTGCATCAGCTCTGATAAGCAGCGCCTCTAAAAAGTCACACACAATCCTCTTATAGCCACACAGCGCTGTGAGGACTCTCCAGCAGAGCAGACAGCTGTAAAAACTGCAAGTTATTGAGTCTGGAAACTGTAACAGTGTGTATAAGGGTTAGGGTTTATATCTGTTTATATATATATATTATATCTCTATTGTGTTTGTGTTTTCCATCGCCTTCCTTCCAGCTACTCTTTTGCCATCGTGGGCATCAACATCACAGACCTGGCGTACTCTCTGCTGGTGAGTGGAGCTCTGAAGACCCACCTGTACAACGTTGCCCCAGAGATGCCCAGTCTGCTGCACCTCCAGCAGACCTTCTGTGAGTTCAGCTGATTTAAATACATATAAAAGTATATTTATATTTATGATTAATTTACAGAAGCCCCGAGAGGCATGTGAGAAAAAATTCTTGTGATCTTAAAGTCTAAATAGTTTTCTTTCTTGTTTTAAAGACTTTAAGAAAAGTTACTTGTTTTCATCTGTGAAACGAGGTAAAAAAAAAGGTGAAATAATATTTTTTTTTCTTATTATGTCCTCAAGACGTTTAACAAGTTGCTAACACACAATATATGTACCTCGTGTTTAGAGAGAGAACTTAAAACTCACCTGGAAGATGAACAAGAGGTCGTGGTTCACTTCAGCCTCTTGTGGCTGAAATCAGTATTACAACAACAAATACTTTTTTCCCACCTGTTTCACAGATAAAAAATAATTTAGATTGTCCTGATTCATCTGTTTTTAAGTTATAAACTGCAGGTCAAAGTGACACAAATTCCCCACAACTAACTTTTTTTAACTTTCTAACCTGCTTTGCACAAACTAACTTATGTATATATATTCTTAATTATAGTCTTTAGTATAATTGCTACACTGCTGCTGTGTCAAACCTTGAAATAAGGAACATCTTATCTCTTAATAAGAGTATGAACAGTCCAAATCACATGAAATATGATCTTTTTTTTTCATTCTGAATTAAGGCCACTTTCATATGTGGTTTAAATCTTACAGAAAATGTGTTACATTCACTTGAAAAACTAAAATTCTGTTATTTCTGAATTATCGAACATACGTGAGCCTGCGGTCAGTACCTGTCCTCAGAGGACAGCTGAGAACAGACGCTGTATGCGGGCTCAGGTCCCGTCTGACCTCCCTCCGGTTCTCCAGCGGAGCTCCAGGTGGGTGAAGAGGGGAGACAGAGCTCTGCATGAGCCCACTGGATACAGGATTTGGATGAGGCTCAGGGGGGGCAAGGAGAGCTCAGAATTCGTCAACCAGGTCACTTCAGGACCGCAACCTCGTCACACTGAACTCTGATATGGACCACCTTTAAAAAAGTGGATGTAATCCCTGCAAACCTGTTGTGTTGTATATATAACTTCTCTCCTCTTCTTCAGGTTACCTGATGCAGGAGTTTCACCGTTTCTGGATCGAGGAGGATCCGAGCGACATCATGGAGTTCAACCGGGTCCGCTCCAAGTTCCACCGGAGGATCCTGCGACAGCTGAAGAACCCGGACATGGCCCTCTGCCCCCACTTCTCCGCCTCCGACCTCCACCTGGTCAACCTCTAAACACCCTTCCCCCAACCCCAACCACCCTCACCCCCACACACACACAGAGGGCCCCCCCCTCAGATGTCCGGTAACCCTTTACACACTCACATTAATGGTTCTTTAAACTACCGGACTCTCTCTCTCTGGAGGGGTTGGAGACTCTCTTCCTTTCTCCCCGCTCAGTCCACCTCGTCCCAGCTAACGTCATATCGCGTCACTGCCAACAGCTCTCCACACACACACACGCACGCACACACACACACACACACACACTGCCTCTACGCCCTCACTGCAGCGTTAGACCACCAGCATCAGAGATGACCATAGCGATTGTAGCTGTGCATGAGGAGGCTGCAACCATCGACCATCACAGACTCACATCATTACGTGTTGCTTTAAAGAATTCATGACGATTGTATCACAGCCGTTTACAACCTCAGTTATATGAAACCTTTGAGCTTATTGTTCTCATAACAAAACCAAAATTTACTTTCTCAACCAAAAGAAGAGTTCACCTTTTTTTTTTTTTTTTTTGATTGTGATCATCAGTTCGGGATATTTTGGCAATTAGCTGGTCGGACTTTTTCGAGCTCCAACGTGTCAAATGTTTTATATTCTAAATGAAGAGCTATAGATTAAAAATGTAAATGATCCGTCGAAGCATGAAAAAGAAATGTTGCTGGCGCTTATTCAATCAAAAGAAGCTATCAAACTAAATAGGCCCCAGTTCATCTCTTTACTTTGTATATTAGGGAGTCGTTATATAGATTGTACTGTACTTTTTAACGGACTTTCTCCTTGCCAAAATATCGAATGTGGAGAATTTACAATCAACAGCAGCAGTTTGTTTCTCAAATGTTAAAAGTTTTTGTAAACCTGCTAAAAGGATGTTCGGAAATATTTAAAAACTTTGTCGTTTCGTTAAGTTTGAACGCTGAAAGAGCTGCATAAGCCCCGCCCCTTTTGTGCTAGCCTCGTCTATGTTGGAATAAAAACACATTTTAAAGATAAAAGCGACAAATAATCACATCTTAAGTTATCTTTTCGACATAGACGAGGTTAGCAGATAATATCTAACACAGGAGAGCAGAAAGTTAGCGGAGGCTCGCTCAACTGTCATTGGAGGAGAGCAAAAAGGGGGCGGGGCTTAGAAAGCTATTTCCTCGTACAGAGAAATAATTAACTACAATTAAAAATACTTTATGAGCATTATTTTACAGGTTTGCACAACTTTTTATATTTTTGCCTTTGGTTTGACCCCACGCAGAGATTCAGTTACGAATGTTCCTCACACTCACGATTGTTTGATTTTACTTCATTGAATGTGACACTGTGTCCACTGTCGTATCAGCCAAAGCAATAATTTACATTCATTTCACCGCACGTATATTTTATGTGCACCGTGCGTGCCTGAGTATTTGTTTCTCTTTCTAAAACCGGAGCTGGAATGCTAATCGATTCTGTAGCTGCTACGTGTGGCGTTCAATAGACGGCAGTTTAATTGTTTAATGCCGGCCTTTTTCAGTAAAGCCAAAGACAGCGAGGGGGACGGGCCGATGTGCGGTTTTAATGCTACACATAGCAGCGTTAAGAGGCGTCTGTTATTATCTCTTTAACACACTCCAGAGAGATACAACGTTAAATGTAGAGTTGCTCCATAGACAGTGGATTAAGGGGGGTTAATACGTTAGAGAGCTGAGTGTGAGAATAAAGTAAAGATGGAGGCGTTGATCGGTCAGTTAACGCACCAGCTGCAGAGCCGTCACTGTCAGCTCTCTACTGTTTAATTACTGTATTTAATTACTTTCATTACATTCATTTTACCCAGAAAGACATCTTAGATTCACAGACTATATCGCAATATTATAATTAAACAAATATATATATATATAAAATCATCTGTCATCATAAATTACACTCAAACCACCCAAAAACTGTCTGAATCCATAAAAAAAACACCAAATTAAATATTATAACATAATAAATTAATTAAAACTAAAATAACCTGAGACATTGAATACAGTTTCTGTGACACTGATTTATCTTGTTTAATCTGCTGTTAAGGGGTCGTCTTTATAGACTGATACTGACGATAATCTTGATATTTAAAAATGAAATATTGATAATAATAGTTAATAATATTGTGTAAATAATCCAGAGCCTCTTGAATCATTTCTTTCTTTAATGCACATTAACACTGGTTGCAGATGAGTTCAATTAATTTGCCAAAAAAGTTTAATTTGACTGAATATTGTTATTATTATTGTCAAATGTTGTATATTTAGTTGTGATAATATCAGTCGTAGTGCATCCACAACTGCACACTGTTCAGCATTAGTTCACATATAGTATTTAAATTATAATTTTAATAATCTCTTACCTAATGTTTATTATTTCCACTCATTCTTTACCTCACTGTAAAGCAGCGGTGGTCAGTTGTGGTTTCACAAGTTAAAAAGAAGCAAAATATTCAAGGAAAATCTGACAAAATAAACACAATTTGCAGCAGAAATATGTTTTTTTTCTGCTTTATTATCTTATTGTGATTCATTGTGGTTTATTATCTTATTGTGATTCATTGTGGGTGTCCCGACCCCCCCACACAGCTGGTAACCACTGCAGCAAATTACCATCCAGTCAAGAAACATTGAAATAAATAAACAAATGAACTGAATCATTGTCTATGGAGCAGCAGTTTGATTGTTATCTCAGCTCTGAGTCATCATTTTAGTTGCCACTTGAAAGATAAATCAACAAAAAGCCCAAATCCGACACCCTCCTCTTCCTCTTCAGCAGCAGTTGTCGACCACTGTATTTAACATTCACGAGCGTTCGCTGTCGATCTGACGAACAATGTACTTTTATTATTTGACTGCCGCGCTTGCACTGTTGATTGTGTTTTAACAGTATTGACGTGATGCTATTTTATTTTGTCGGGTCAGTATTACGCAGCTGTTTACGTCAGTGCTGGTTTTCATCTCCCGCTTGCATTTTGTTTTAGTTTTTATTGCTTTGCTATGGTCAGCTTTTGCACTATTGTAAAAAAAAAAAAAAAAAAAGGTAGTAAACAAGTAATTTGTGCCGTTTAGGAGTAAAAAGGGCCGCCGAGTCCCACGATACTGTAGATGAAGTTAAGTACACGCTGCTGTATATTCTGCTTTTGAAACTTAAGACCACACGATCTGCATGATGATATTTTCAGTGTCACCGATTATTCAGCTTTCTGTATTATTCAGTAAAAAAAAGGCTAAAAGATCATTATAGATATTGTAATCGTGTGCTTCATTTGTCTGTGCTGTACTTTTTGAGACCACAATAAAAACTAAATGTCTAAAAACTCACTGTTAAGTTGTTTATTTATACATGTTTTTTGCCGACTTCTGACGTGGTACAAGGTCATTGTTACTTGTTATAGTAGAAAAACCACAGTGCAAGATATTTAATTACAAGTTAAAGTCTTTAATTAAAAATATAATGTCAATAAAAGTGCAGAAGTAGAAGCAAAATGTATTTAAAGTAAGATAAGATAAGAAGATGACTCAGAAATGGAGGAAATGTAGCGCAAAAAGTGTAAAAATATAAAGAATAATAAAATATTATAAAGATATAATAGATAATATATAAACTATATGCAGTATCAAATGCAGAATGTCTCCTTTTTTATTTATATTATTATAGTATATTAAAAAGGTCCAGTCTGGAACATTTAGGAGGATCTATTAGGTAGAATATTTATATCTCTGTTTTTATTAGTGTGTTATAATATAACAATCAACTTAATATAGGAAATTGTTGTTTTTGTTACGGACAAACAAAAGCTAACGTCTTTCTAGTCACTCTTCAGCTGTTCTATTGATTAAAGGCAATAAATAGATATAAAAAACTATAAAACAATGACTGTAAAAAGGATTGTTTGGTCCGTCACACTGCTCCTTTAAAATTATTCAGTTTGTATGAATAAGAAATACACGTGAGAACATTTTAATCTCACAGTTTGCAGGTGTTTTTTAATGTAAAATCTCAATCTGAAGAGTACCTGTAACTTTAAATAGTCTGTGTGTTTCTGATTGTGCTTTAGTGAAGGATTACAGCAGCGTTTCTTGAATAAAATCACACTCACTTACTCTAAATGTATGTTTGTTTGTACTCTTTTCACAACAACGAGTAGATTATATTAAAATCTGCCAGTCTTGGGTGTGTAAAAACATGTAACATCATTTAGTTTATTTTTTTTCTATGTGCACTAAAGTCAAACTTGCAGCAGAGGGCAGTAAGCTCACACCTCATATGAGACTCACTGAGAGTTGGAGAGTAAAAATGAAGTGAATGTTTCCAGATGAGATCTCTGGAGGTTGATCATCATCTGTTTCTTCGCTGGATGATGTTTGAAGGTTGTTTGTTTTACGTACCAGCAGTAGATGATGAGACACTGCAGCAGCTAAATTATACAAAAGAACAACAGGAACAAATCTCTGTCACTTAAGGTCGGAAGTGGAACGTAAATATCCAATTTAAACGTAGTCGCCACTGTTTGTTGTTATAATCTGACGCTGACTGAGGGTTGCTGTATTACAGGATATGTAAGAAAGTCCATCACAAAGTCCACCAAAGCACAAAAAAAACTGCTTTATCTTGTCTACATTTGTCATTTTCCCAACCTACTTTAGATGAAACTGCACCCACTTTCGAAAAGCCTCAACGGCACATAGCACGGTGGCTTAGCTTGAAAAATACTGAAGTGATGAGGGTCTGGGTTTGATTAATTTACTGTTAATTAGACCACAAAAGAGACCAATTAGATGTTTCTGGGGGCAACAGCACTCAACTTTTATAACTTCCTTTACTGATTTTGGTGAAACTGGATCATATTTTAGAAAGAAAATGTTTTGTTTATGTTTTAATAGTGTCAGAGCCTTCATTTCAAAGGTTTTAATCATTGGTTGTTTCATTATTTGTCTCCCTGACTTTTATTTTATTATGTTTTACATTTTATTGTATTCATTTCAGCCACAATATCACATATTGTTGTCGTTTCATTGATTTCTTTTACTTAAATTTGTATCGGTTAATCTTTACACCTGTAGTTTATACGCTGTAACTCATTAGTTATAAGCATTATTGTTTGTTAATAAATCATTTAATAATACTTTATAGATTAGCCATTAATAGGAGCAACTTCTGGGTTGTCAGGTTGTAGAAATTTCCTTTTGGCTGTTGTTCCTTCAGCAGGACAACTTTATTTCTTTTTAGCTCTTTAGTTCGTTTAGTTTTTGAATTGATACGAACCTCTACTCAAAGGTGGGAAGTAACAAAGTACAAATAATTAGTTATTGTATTTAAATAGCCTTTTCCAGATATCTTACATACTTTATACTCCTTACATTTAAAAAACAGGCTCGTTTCTTTAGTTGTAATCTATTTTTGCATCATTGCACGCCTTCCCGGTGCAGATCATACATGATTTTGAGGTTTCAGGTAGCTTTGGTTGGTAGAAATGTCCTCCAGAGAAACCAAGAGAGTATATTTTTTAAACTTTTACCTGAGAAAAGAAGCTGAATCAGTTCTACGTGAGTAAAGAATGTCTGTACATTTCCACCTTTAGTAGTAAAACATCTCAAGTTTACTATAAATCCTGTATCAGCTGCTGTAGTCCTGTAGCTGCGCTGGAGGTTTAAATGCTCTTTACATTGTGAGTTTGGTCTCAAACCGCCACCAGACAGCTGCACATTTATCCACTAACTTTTTCCATCTATGGTAATGAATCCCTAATGTTTCCACACATTACCTCTCAGATGGTTCGGAGCCCTGATCGACTGTTTAACGGGGGCTTCCTTTTTCTCCATTTTGCACTGCTTAGTTTACCGTGCAGCGGTCCGTGAAATAGATCAGAGCGATGGTGCATTTTTACCATCGTTCCTCACCGGAGTTCAAAGCCGTGACCTGTTTCGCTCGTATGCTGGGAAATTTGTCATTTTGAACAGATTATTACAGATTATTTTTCCCCCCTTAAAGTCGAGTGATACAGTTTCTCATCAAGACTCCATCTTTTATTCTTTCGCACTTGCTGTCATTTAATTTCCCCCCTTTTCCCCCAGTTTATTTTAGCTGAATGAGTTCATTAGAGGTTTATTCGGTTCACCTGTCGCACAGAGCGAGGGGAACCGACTCTTGATGAAGAGCAGCTTGGTGACTCCCGTCTCGGCCAATCAGGGTGTGACGACGCCCTTTCTTTAGGGCCTAAGAGAGGAAGGGAACTGCACACCCAGAGCGATCTGTCAGCCACAAACTCTCTTTGCTCCTGTTTGAGATTTCTTTGTGAAGTGATTTTCAATATTCTGAAACATCGTTTGAATACTAAAGAACCTGTTTTCAATAGTTTACCTGCATGAGGGCAGAGCCATTCGTACTCGATTACCTGCTGCCTGCAGGCTTAATTTTGTTTATTGGTTCATTTTTATTGAAATCCCCTTTAATACTCATTTCCTCCTTGAAGAGGTGTTTGTTTATGCTGTTGGGAACTGGTTCTTCCTCATCAGCTGAGCTCTGTGGAGGTTCTTCACTGGTTCTTCAGCTTTAGTTTGTTTAAGTGAATTTCTCCAGTGACAAAAAAAAACATTATTTTTGCTTCTTTAACCCTCTAAAATCTTTTATTTATATTTTAAAATTCCTTGATTTTATTTGGTGATACCGAAGCACATTTCTCGTATGTGTAAACTTACTTGGCAGTAAACCTGATTCTGATTCTAAAAGCAGACATCCAGTGGCTGTTTTTTTTTAAAATCTAAAATAAAAACTATGTAACAGAGCATTCAATCTTAGTTGCAGCAGAAAGCTAACAACCGGTTCACACTGCCTACCAGAGCAGTGCGTGGCGGCTACGGCCCTGAAAGCCTTGTTAACATATGAAAGGATTCTGTGCTGAGAGCTTTTAATCTGAAACTGATACAGGAGTTTAAATAAGTTTAAAACATTCATATACTTCTATTTGTTCCATGTCTGACACATTCTACAGATACAGACATTGAAGCTGTAGTGAAAGGTCTGTATGTTGCTGTTACGAGCCAAAGAAAACCTTTTAATACTATTTAGCAGCATTTTATTTATGTTTGCTTCATCAGACCTACCATACGTCAACATGTATAGAATAGTAAAATCCTCAGTATGTTGTTCATTCAAACTCTTTCATACTGTGCAGTATAATGAACACTTTCATCTTCATCAACAAAGCTTCAGACTGTCTTTTTTTTTTATTCTCGCAGCTTAAAAGCTCAAACGGTTCTCACAAGTACAGAAATACACAAACACACTTGTCAAGAGGGATGTGTTCAAATTCAGGAGTTTGTTTCCTAAAATCAGAGAGAGAGAGCGAGCGAGTGGAGGCTACAGTGTCTAATGATAATGCAAGTGGAGATATACATGCACATCACATCAAAGCAGTGGATTAATGCGGATCAGCTCCAGACAAACTCTGTGGTAATGAGAGCTAAGTCAAAAACTGCAGGGCAGTGTTGGAGCTTGACACATTATCGTCAGCGTTGGCAGTCCATGCTTTAGTCAGCACTTCTTAAGCTTGCAGGAACTTCGTTTTACTGATTCAGACAACAAAAAAAACAAGTTTGCAGGGAAAAAACATCGAGCAAACGTTACAGAGCAGTAACTTTTTATTTATTTATGTAATATGGAGCTGCAGAGTGTCGTTCTCAGAGGCTCTTGTCTGGGTTTTGTTGGTGTGTACACTGGTTTTTATGGGTTTGCTCACAATCAACCTGAGCAGAGGGCTAAATTAAGTTTTATAACTAGGTTCAGGAACAAAGACCACGCCTTGCACTCATCTCATTTCCGCTTAAGCACACCTTATCCGTTCACTCCCTCCTCGACTCAGTTTCCACATCCCTCTCCCCCAGAACCCTTTCTTTCCTTTTCCCCCGTCTCTCTCCTATCCAAATACCGGAACCACTCGGGCTCTCTACAAGACAATGAGACGGCTCCTCCACTCAGAGTTTTACAACCCACTTGGTTCCTTCTCAACATCTCGCCGAACCCTTCCGTCCATTCATCCATCCGCCAACAAACCCACCTTTTGTCCATCCGTTCATCCCTCACCCTTCCTTCGGATACCCCCTAATTCCACAACCTTCAACCCTTCTTCCCTTCATCCCCCATTCCTCGACCCTTTCCCGATTCATTTATCCCTCCTACAGTACACCACATCGGTTTTCATTTATTCATTACGTGCAATAAACCTTTCTAAACCTCTGCTCACGTAGAGGTGAAAACTCACATGACAAGTTTGATGAAACGGATGCCAGAGTTTCAGAAGTATGCAGAATTATTCGGATAC